CCTCGCCCCGCCCCGCCGCGCTGCGTGCCTGGAATCCTGCGCGGTGTTGTCCGCCGGGGCGCGCGCTGGAAGGGCGGCCGGGCGGGAGCGCGCACTGGGTCGCCTGACCGCTCGCGTCTCCTGCCAGCCCCACCGCATACACACTTCGGAGTTTGAGAGCTTCGTCCGCCCAAGAAGCGGCCGCCAAGCTGTGTCGCGTCCTGGCCCCGGAGGGCGGCTGCCAGGCCGCGCCTCAGGACAGGCGTGCAGCGTCCACCGATGAGCGCAGCCAGGGGGCTAGGGAGGACCCTTTCCTCTTCCTTCCCTCTATCCCGGCGCCTTGGGCAATCGGGGAAGGCTCCTAGAAGGAGGTGGTGCCCTGGCCACCTGCGCAAAGAGCGCAGTGCGCTTAGTTCATAATCGCTTTCAGAACGGGCCCTGGGGTGAGCAATGAGGCTCGAGTCAGCGGGGCGCCGGCCTGAAGGGCCAAAACGCCACCCTTCTAGGCGGCCACGTATTTGCCCCTTACAGAGTGGGGTTGCTGACGGCAGTTAGAGGAGTCTGCGTTTGAAAGGTCACTTACGTGTCTGGGAGGCCCGAGCCACCTGTGTCCCGGGGTTCACGTCGGTCCTGGGTGGCGCAGGTACCTCCCTGGGGTGCCAGCCTCGCTCTTCCGGCTGCGTCCCTAGGGGCGTGGAAACAACCCCTGCTTCTTGCTTTGGGCTCCTGAAGAAAGGGAGGGGTGACTCAGTGAGCTAGGGACAGTTCCTCCCCAGGTCGCAGTAGGAGACAGTAGATGAAGTGCTCACAGGAGTGCAGCAGGAAACCTGCAGTAAGGGCAGGAGGGAGTCACCAGGGGCCAGGCCTGGAGAAGCATCCCTCACCTGGCCTGCCACTGCCACGCGTCAAGGCTGGTTCATTTTACCAAACACCATCCATCACAGCGGTGCCCATAGAACTCTCTGGACGATGGAGGTGTTCCGTATCTACGGTAACCCGGGACATGTGACTGCTGAGCACTTAAAATGCGGCTAGTGCGACCGAGGAACTGAACTTTAAACTGCATTTAATAGTAAATGTAAATAGCCAGGGATGCCCCGTTGCCGCCATATCCCTCCACGTGCCACTGTCTCCTGTTACTCCCCGTCCTGACAGCTTTTCCGTTCTCTTGGTAATTAATTTCTAAGTTTGTTTTGGCTTCGCGCTTACATAAGAGCTACAGGCACAAAGAGGTCATACCGAGTTTTATGTTTGTGTGTAGCTCAGTGATAATATAATGAAAATATCTAAATCTTTACCAGGGCCTACTAGGATTTTTTTTTTTCATTTAAAAAGAGACAGAACAGGCCTCAAGTGTAAGGAAACACTTCCGGATGTCCTGGGCACCCTGGTCTTCCATCAGCTCCCTGTGGCCCCCAGGGGACACTTCCTGTCAAAGAGGTGGGCTACATCCTCGGCAGAAGGCCTTCCCGAGGCCTCTGAGGAGGGAGGCATAGAGACATTGACCCTCCTCTCAGGAAAGTAGTGACAGCACCGTGCGTACTGCCCTTGGCCCACTATCCCCTAAGCAGGTTGCCTTCGGCCAGCTCACTCTCCCTCCAGCCATGCATCACATATTTAGTGGGGGCCTGCTGTGTGCCAGGCGATGTGCCAACACTGGCTGTGGGCAGACGGGCAGCCAGGACCCCTTCCCTCGAGGACCGGAGGCTCTGGTGCGGGAGACAGCTGTCCCCTGCGATGACCTTGTAAATGCTGGGGTTGGGGGGTAGTCCCTTGGTGCTTTGTGGAGGCTTATGGGGGCAACTTGTCCAGCATGAGGCCTGCAGATGGAAGGAGCCAGCCCTGCAAAACACGAGGGCAGAGGCAGAGGGACAGAAAGTAGGCCAGTGGCCGGAGCAGAGGGAGGGAGAGGAAAAGGGCTAGACGCTGTGGTCAGGGCAGTTAGGTGACATCCAGGCCTGGCCAAAGGCCAGGGTGGGGCTACCTTAGATTCTGACCTGTGGTGGAGCGATTGGAGGGTTCTGGCAGGAGAGCCACAGGCCTGGCATTCTGTGTGAATTGATTAGATGGGCACGTGTGGCAGCCCGTGGGGAGGCCCACAGAAGGCAGCTGGGACCACAGTGCAGCCTATGCTTGGGACACCAAGCCACATGGGGGGAGGGCTGCTCCGGGTAAGCCTCGTGGTCCTGGCACACTGTGGCTCTCCCTGGGGGACCAATCATGTCGTGTCCCTGCAAACTGGCTGAAGTGCCCTGCCCAGTGGCCCACCAGCTTGAGCAATGTCTTAGTTATCTGTTGTGGTTGTCAGGTGCTGTCAAGTGGGTTCCGACTCATAGCGACCCCGTGTACTACAGAAGAAAACACTACCCGGTCCTGCGCCGTCCTCACAATTGTTGTTATGCTTGAGCCCATTGTTGCAGCCACTGTGTCAATCCATCTTCTGGAGGGTCTTCTTCTTTTTCACTGACCCTCTACTTTACCAAACATGATGCCCTTCTCCAGGGACTGATCCCTCCTGAAAACAAGTCCAAAGTATGTGAGACGGAGTCTCGCCATTCTCGCTTCCAAGAAGCATTCTGGCTGTACTTCTTCCAAGAATGATTTGTTGTTCTTTTGGCAGTCCATGGTATATTCAGTATTCTTCACCGGCACCATAATTCAAAGGCATTAATTCTTCTTCGGTCTTCTTATTCACTGTCCAGCTTTCACATGCATATGTGGTAACTGAAAACACCATGGCTTGAGTCAGGCGCACCTTAGTCTTCAAGGTGACATCTTTGCTTTTTAACCCTTTAAATAGGTCTTTTGCAAGTTTCAAGATACAAGATAAACATACAAAAATCAGTTGGATCCCTTTCACCAACAAAGAGAACCTCGAAGAGGAAATCACCAAATCAATACCATTTACAATAGCCCCCAAGAAGATAAAATACTTAGGAATAAATCTAACCAGAGACGTAAAACATCTATA